GAGCCCTGAGGAAAAGACCTGGGGAGAGCTGGGGTCTGCAGCCCAGCGTCGGGGTGAAGAGCTCGACTTAAAGCAGTTGGGCACCCTGGGGAAGGGCAGCGACGGGGCCGCGCAGCCCTGGCGCTTCCCCTGAGGGACGCGGAGGGGGCGCTTCGCCTGGGGCCCCAGGTGTTCCACTGGGTGAATCTAAGTTAGGGTGGAGGTAAGGCCTCCCTTCCCCATGCTCGGAAAGCAGCTCGGCTCCACAGCAACGTCCCGCTACGCCGGTAAGCTTTACTGCGCTGCGCCGCTCGCGCCTGCCTGAGCTTAACTGGCAACGTAATCCAGCGCTTGGGAAGGAGACAGCCGACTACAGCTGGGATGTCGGTCCCCCATGAAATAATTGCGCACGTGCTTCTGGACTCCGGGAACAAGTACAAGCTGCTGCCAGCCAGAGACTAAGTTCTTATTCACGTCAGTCAGGCAGGTTTCGGGGTAGCAGATCTTGTCAGACCACGGAGCTGTCTTCATTGCATTGGAGAGCCAGGTGAAGAAACCCTTCTCTGCCAGCTGCCCGTGGGGAGATTTGATGTGGGAGAGCTGAGCATTTCATGCAGCTCAGCTGTGCGGCAGGGGTGTTAACACGGTGCCCCGCTCCCAGCTGTGCCTTGTTCCTGCACAGCCGGGAAGGGCTGTCCCCCCATGGCATGACCCGGCCCTACGTGAGCTGCTGGGGCCTGCGGTGGCCCCTTGCTCCACCGATCCCTGCCGGGCAGGGCCCACGGCAGCGCGGCGTTCCCGGAGCGTTCCCCTCCCCCCCCGCGGCCCCCGCCCGCAGCCGCTACGGTGGTGCGGCTCCCTCGGCGAGAGCCGGATGGCGTTCAGCGTCCCAGCGGAGCCCTCACCGCGCGCCGGAGGTGTCCCGTCGGCGTTCCCCGTTCCCTTGGGAGGTAACGTCTGGGAGCAAGCTCGGCTCTCCACCCTGGCTGTGGAGCGCCACGAGCTGCAGCAAGCTGTAGCCGCTAAACCCTGCTGGCCACTGGTGATGTTTAGGGTTTACTGGTCTTAGCAGAGCTGCCATCAAATATAAGAAAGTGTGTAATTAAATGAGGCAAGCAGGTCCCTTCCGCAGCAAGCATGCGTCCGGTGGGTGTCCGTCTCCCCGGATTCCCAGGAAATGCTGCTCTTCTGCTCCTTTGAGGTGCAAGACAGTTTTTATTTGCATAATATGTAATATTACAATATATAAAATACATGTGTATAGAGCTAATATATAGTGTGCATTTATATATATATGTACAATATAGAATATATAGTATATAATTTAATAATAAACACTTTAGAGAAATTAAGAAAAGGTTCTTGTAATACTGCTCACGAGACAGGGGTGTGTGATGGGGACCAGCAGGGACCTCCAGATAGTTATGTTATTCTAGTATTATAAACAGGTGATATTTTTAACAACAAAGTGGGTCAGCGTAGCAAGCCATTCCTGTCCCCTTTCAGTGCTGTTCCCTCCTGCCCTCCACCCAGCGACCACTGTGGTAGCTGAAAGGATAACATGGATAATAGTACGGATGGTGATAACAGCCCAGGAAAAGAGGAAATACAGCTGAGATAAAGTCGTGGCTTTGCCTCTGTACACAGCGTTGGTGAGGCTAGGCTCTTGCTAGGCTATTATGCCTTGTTCCAGTGTTCACATTCGGGATGATTCAGATAATCCTCAAAAGAGAGAAGCAAATATTATCTAGGAAGTCCTACAAAAATTAAGCTTGTGATGTTCAAATCATCTAAAGAGAAAGATGAAGAGGTGATTTATCATGTTGTACAGCTCCTTAGTCATAGAAAAGGTCCTTGATGGTAAGAGGAATGCTCAGTCTTGCAGACAAAAACATAATAAGATCTGATTTCTGAAAGTTGAATTTAGTGAAATGCAATTTTGAAATAAGATGCTGTTTCCCAGCAGCGAGGGGGTGTTTAATCGCTGGAAGCGCTTACCAGATGCGGTAGTGTAAGCATCACCTGGAATTTCCACGATAAGATGAGACAGCTTTCTGAAACCGGGGCTTTCGTCAAGCCCCTGGGAGAACCCCCCTGGCCTGCGAGCACCAGCGCTCGGCTGCCGGATCCCCGCGGCCCCCTGGCCGCGTCTCCCGCGGACCTGTTCACACTGTTGAATTTCGTTCGTATGCAACTTGATGCTGCTTAACCGCATCTCACATCTTTGGGAAAGGATTTCCAAAATGTTTGCCAATAGAAAATATGGTTTCATCAAACTTAAAATATCTGACAAAATCCTATAGATTTGGGTTTTTTGAACAAAATGGGCAAAACCTCTCACAGTAAAGTCAAGGCAGAACACTGCTTGTTCATTCTGAGATGAGCTTTATTTCTACTTTATTGTTATACCTTTCCATTTTATACCCAGCTGAGGTTTCAAACCTAGTTGGGATTTTTCAATATTTTTACTTCATGTCAGATATTTACATGTGAAGATCTCCTCTAATGATGAGTGAAATACAAATTCAGCTCGTTTTTCTTATTCCTTCTCCTATTAACGTTTTATCCAGAATTGTCAAAGAGGCCAACAGAAAAGTTACTGCACCATTTTTTTCAGCAGGGATGCGGGGGGAATGCAAGTTTCCTCCTCTGGCGATCGTTGCCTGCTCGATGACCTGGAGAGGAAATTTTGGGGGGGGAGAGCAAAGAAAGGGCG